AAAAAGAAGACTTAGCACTTTTTCCCAAAACCCCGAAAAACCATGATGAAGTACCCCAACTCGGAAAAAGCACCCGGGCGGAAAAAGGCGTCCGGCCTGCGGCCTCCCCGGCCCAGGCGGCACCGCCGTACTCCTTGGCTCGGGGGTGCCGGGGACTTCGGGTTCCATCGCGTCTCGCGAGGCCCCGATATCGGGCCCTAGGCAACGAAAAAGGTGGAAAATGGGGCCAAACGGGGAGAACCAAAAGGTTTTTCAGGAAAGAGGCGAACACCTGGGCCCACTGAACAAATGGACCAAAGAGGGAAAAACCAAAAGGTGTAAGATGGTCGACTGAGCATTTGGGCAACTGAGCATTTGGTGGCAAATCTCGTACAGGCCGAGCAAAAAGGGTCGCCTTTGACCCCGCATGGACCTAAAAGGGATGGCGGGGGGAAAGCATACCGATGGGTCCAACGAAATCCGTTTCGCACCACCTAAGAAACCCTGGATTGATGATTCTCTTGTAAATACCCAGCAAACAATGGTTTCCCGTTTCAAAGTGGTGCAGGATTTCGTCCATCCACAGTATCTCCCGGTATGGCGAATTCCAACCTTCCGAGCAGAACCAGATCCTAACGGCACTGACGGGACTTTGGAGCAAGGGTGCAAGTGCTTGCCATAGGTGACCCTTTGAAAAATTGATGGCCCTGGCAAATGGAACCACTGGAAGCCATTTATTTCTGACCAAACTAACCGAAAGAGGACACCCATGGTGCTTGGGACATCGGTGTACAATTGCCCAGCTCTCTGTGAGGCTGGTGGTTATAGAAACTGCCCGGCTTACCAGGCACTCGGAATCTGGGAAGCCACGAAAGCTTCCGCCAACCAAAATTTGAGTCAATGCAAAATGATTGAGCACAGAAACTGGGTTGCCAAAAAAGAATAGCTTGCAAAAACACAAACACAGACGGAAAACACTCAGCATGTACCGGTGATTTGCGGCATGCAACTGTGTTCGAAGGGCGAGATTGTATATCACGTGAACGTCATGTTCACTGCAATGTCTTTGACGCACGTGTGCATGCCAGAGTGCGGGGCATGCAGGGCCTGGGTCACTCATGCCCCAGCTCACATCTGAGGCAAACGAATGGACAAGGCAAAACATGTGCATGCGATTCCCGAGTCCTGTGGGTAAGCAGAGGCCCATGCTTCTGCGCCTGCAATGCATTGCCCAGACTAGCAAAAGACCCTCCACTGTTTTAAGCCCTTGATTTCCGAAGTGCCAAAGGGCAACCAAAAAATGACATGCATTCCTGTCAGTAGACCAGTTAGGGGTCGCATCCTGAATTTTGAGAAAACAGGAGCACTGTTATGGTGCATGCTCTGCTCGCGTGTTGTGACTGGCAATCACATATCAGCAAATCTGAGAGGCATACAATCCATCTATATGGGATTTATCCTGGGTAGATACATGTATAACTATATACACTTGTGTTACACCCGCATGTGGTGTTGCAAGAACGGAAGAACGTTCTGGGCATCGCAAGCTATCAGCTGGACATTCTACTCCGCTGGCAGGCAAAGTAGCTGGACATCGGAGAAGCAAACCAGCAGGCATCACACTTACCCAAGGCTCGATCATCATGCTATAAGCGCCACACAGCCGAATGAAACGAGCCGGGCCTTGCATGCCCTGCATGGCTTCCATGCCTGAAGCCTCAAGCAGGGCCTTTGCCTCGAGGGTCTTTGAACCAAAACCGCCTCCCTGGCTATGTGAAGACTCTGGAGTGTCTTGTGCTCGCGTTTCGGCCTTCCTCCAAGCCAAGCTGAAGCCAAGAGCGGAACGGCCGGAGTCAAGGCGAAACCTGGGCCGAGCCTGGCAGCCAAACGTCTATAGCTTTAACCATCTGCAAGTTTTGCGACAATCCCAAAACCTGAAATAGGGGATCCCCAAGCCCAGGACCTGTACCATGGCGAGCTCGTTTCACCCCCCAATCGATGAGCTCGCCAGAGATTTTGTGCAGCACCATACATTCCCTTCGACCCGCTCAGAAGAAACCGCCAAGGCTTGCGATCGGTGCGAGAGATGCGGGGAATGAGACATGGAGTCTGACCCAAAAACAAACCATCCCACTGGTGGTGTCCTAGGGAATCCAATCAACTTCATTCCCAACACCTCGGAACGGTCATTTCTCTGAGGCAAGAAAACCACAGGTGTCATATGCAAACACCTCGCAGTGCACTTGAACGGTCGCTGAGCCAGGACCACGTCCAATCTCCGTACACCAGGCTTCATGATCGTCCATGATCCTGCTGAAAACTCTGTGCCGGCTGCTGCTCGCTTCTCACGTGTGCTTGCTATCATGTTAAGACGTAAAAGATCCTTCCCAACACGAGCCAGTCATCAGCAAAACAAGCAGAACGGGGACCAAAGGATAGAGCAACATTGGACCACTTGGCGGGTCAGACTCTGCAAAACATCGACCTTGATCAGGGTCCGGAAGTTAGACACACCTTGTTGTAGTCCGACAGACACAGCGCAGTGCTTTGGATGCTCTGGGTGTTGCTCTGAATTCATGATAACAGCTTTGTTTTGATACTATTGGTTGTTTTGGCTTCCAAGATGTATATTATCATGCAAAGGATCCCCTCCAGACTTGGATTCAGTTCACCGTGGCTGATGAATTCGAATTGGTCTGGTGCACTCCACTAAGATGCGATGCGCGCTCTCGCAATGTGCAGCGCACAGGAAAAGCACGCCACTCTCAATCTCTCAAGTTGAGCCTCCATGTGCAAACCTTTTGGCGAGGCAAATATGTCTGCGTTGTGTGTGTGTATTTTTGTGTGTGTGTGTGTGTCTCGTGTGTCTGTGTGTTGTGTCTGTCGGGTGCCTCTGCGTGTGCACATGCGTGTTCGTGCGTCCGGGAGTGCCTGCAGGTGGGCGCGCGCGTGCGCGTGTGCGCGTGGGCGTGCACAACAGTGTGGCTTAATCAAGGCTCCTCCCTCTCAGCATGGGTCCCGTCAAACTAGTGGTCCCGTTGGTTTCCTGCGGGTTCCCCCTCAAACACCAACAAAGATGTGGTCCGAAATCCATTTTGGGAAACACCCAACTCAAGCTGCAACAGCTCAGGTTGATCAGTACGGAGGGCCCACCTTATCATCAGGGGCATCGGCAAAGGCAATGTCCACCGAAGTACCTGCGATATGTCCACTGACAACCGCGTCTTCCCTGGCAAAAAAGAGATGTGACCAAGAAATAACCAGGAAAATGCACAAAGTGGCGAAACCCAAGGAAGATCTCCTCCTGCAGGTTTACCCGCTTACCAGGTGGCAGGACTCGCTTGTCTGCCATCGAAACACTGCACATAAAGGGGCTTGATTCTCAGCAGGAGGTTGTTGACCTCAAATAGGTTGGTCGCTTCGCTCGCACGGGTGTCCATCCCGGGTTAAGCCATTGCAACACGGCCTTTCAACATGGCCTCTGTGTAGCTGACGGCTCCTAGCATGGAACGCATACATCGCTTGGACGGTAGCTATTCGTGTCTTGAGCTCATGGAAAGACGCAAAATGAATGCGCGACAACCAAGTGTTTGGAATGGGTGTCCTTGCAAACCGATAAACCTGGCTGGACCCCTCATGTTGAGACACACCTGTGCCCGAAGAATGTAAAGTCGGATCCTTCTGAGAAAAAGAGCCAAATACTTGTTGGGTGCCTTTTTGTTTACCTGCTCAGATTTCACTGGACCAACCACTGTGCTTGGCCTTAATGGATTTGACATCACCCCAGGGTTCCTTGCCCCCATTAAAAGAATGGTTGACCCAATATGGATGATGACAATCCTTGGGTCAACAATCGTAATCGTGGTTTTTCTGCACCTCCGTTGTTTCAACGGTGGCAACCGAACCCCTCAGAAATCAGATTACACCCGAGGATTCCTGCTCGTGATGGTTTGCCCATGGACAAACTCGGAGCCTATCTTGAGCCCCAAGGAAGGCTGGCTGTGCTACGGCACGGCACGTGAACTTTCTGGGGACTCCAAAACGGTCAGACATGAACTGCTGAGTCATGTCCGCCAAAAAAAATCCCCACTCGACTTTGTGTGTCTGTGTGTCTGTGCGTGGCTTGGAAGTTCATCTCCCACCAGAAAACTTAGAGAAACTGCAGGCGCCAGGTGGGCCGCTGGTGCACAAGGTGTGGGGGACCGCTGGAGGATCGACACGGTGTCAAGTTTCACCTTTTGATAGCAAATGTGGGCTTGTCTCAAAATATGTTTGGGGCCCGCAAAATGGTTGGATTCCGTTTGGTTTCCGTTCAGGTCCCTCAAATCCCCTCAAATATTGGCGTAAGCAATCTTGGGCATCACCAAGGGCACGTAGCGCAACGTTCTCGGCGAATGGCTGCCCCAAAGCTCTTCTTCTTTTCCCCGACGGGCAACCCCAGCGAAGCACTGGCATGGGTCAGTGTTCTACCCACGCAGAGCGCACCTCATCTGAGCCGATGAGCTTTAGTCTCCCTGCTTCCTTTTGTACCACTAAAATGTCTTTCCACTCTCAAACTTGCGAGGGATTCCACCAATCGGACACAAACCACCCGGGTCTGCGTCATGGCTTCCCTGTCAAACTCGATTCTCTCTTCTGATCTCTCAGGTGAGCTGCACCCGCTGTTGAATTTACATCACCGGCGACCTGCTGAGAGGTCAACGGAAGCGCCACAGATTGTGCCATCGCCTCAAAGCACTGCTCAAATATTAAGTCACTCGATCCGACTGCTCTGATCGCGGTAGAGCATATTTGAACGGAAATATCATGAAACCCCAACATGAATTCCCCGTGCATTGGTCCAGGCTTCATGCCTGTATATGACTAATGGAACACATTCTCTCATGCTTAGCATGCTGAGGGGTAGACTCAAACATGAAGGGGGGGGGGGGGTTCTATTGGTGACCCGTCCTGTCCCGTGGCCGAAACACCGGTTTCAGGAGTCCTCAAGTTCTCTTGGGTCAAGATGTCTGTCATGTCGAGGTGGGTTCGCCCTTTAGGTGATACTCACAGGGGACCTAAAGGGAACCCGGGTGTCTGCTGCTTTCCCGCTCGAATTCCCGCGCGCTCAGGTTTAGGAGTCGGAGCCCTGCCATCTGAAAGCCTTGGCAAACACATTACAAACACAAACGCCGTCTATGTGAAGAAGGTTGCTACAGTATCTCTTTCCTGGCGCAGTAAGTGGTGTTGCTGTGTGCAGGTGTTTCTGTGCATGTGTGTGTGTGTGTGTGTGTGTGCGTGCGCGTGTGTGGTTATGTGTGCATGTGCGCGCGTGTAAGCGTGCGTGCGCGCGTGTAAGCGTGCGTGCGTGCGTGCGTGCGTGAGTGCATGCGTGCGTGCGTGCGTGCGCGTGAGTGCGTGCGTTCGTGGGTGGGTGTTTCTGTTGATGTGCTTGTGTGTTCAGGTGTTCGGATGTTCGCGTGTTCGCAAGTTCAGGTGTTCGTGTTTTCGTTTGTTCGGGTGTTCGGGTTTTCATGTTTTCGTGCGTTCGTGCATTCATGTGTGCGTGCATTCGTGTGTTCGTGTGCTCGTGTGCTAGCATGTTCATGTCCTTGTGTGTTCGTGTGTCCGCATGGTTTGCTTGCTTGTTTGCTTGCTTGTTCGTTTGCTTGCTTGTGCCTGCCCGCTTGCCGGCCTGCGTGCCTGTCTGTCTGTCGTTCTCTGTCTTTCTCTGTCTGTCTCTGTCTGTCTCTGTCTGATTGTTGTTCTGTCTGTCTGTCTCTGTCTGTCTGTCTGCCTGCCTGCCTGCCTCCCTGCCTGCCAGTCTTGTTGGTTGGTGGGTGGGTGGGTGGGTGGGTGGGTGGGTGGGTGGGTGGGTGGGTGGGTGGGTGGGTTGGTTGGTTGGTTGGTTGGTTGGTTGGTTGGTTGGTTGGTTGGTTGGTTGGTTGGTTGGTTGGTTGGTTGGTTGGTTGGTTGGTTGGTTGGTTGGTTGGTTGGTTGGTTGGTTGGTTGGTTGGTTGGTTGGTACGTGTGTGTGTGTGTACGTGTGTGCGTGTGTACGTATGTGTACGTGTATATATATATATGTATGTATATATATATATGTGTATGTATATACATATATATATATGTGCGTGTGTGTGCGTCTGCGTGCGGGTAGGTGTCCGAGTGCGTGCGCGCGTCTGCGCGCGCCTGTGCGTGTGGGTGCGTTCGCGCATGCGTGTATGCTCGTGCATGCGTGCGTGCGGGCGCCTGCAGGCGGGCGGGTGTGCGTGCGTGCTGGCGTGCGAGCGTGCTGGCGTGCGTGCTGGCGTGCGTGCATGCGTGCCTGCGTGGTTGCCTTCGGATGTGCGACGTTTCGAATGTGATTACACGGAGTTACACGGAGTATCCCAATACTTGGATACCGGTGGAAACCATGGATCTGTCCAAACTGCTGCAGGTAACAAATGGGAAATCAGGAATCCGCAAGCGAACTATCCTGGGGCCGAGCTCCCCGGCTAAAAGAATGGCAAGGACCTAATTCGGATGATGAGACTTCCTCACCAAGTAACGGTGGTCATACTTTGTTTTCATGGTGGCAAGTGAACCCCAAGGATGAGTGTCGCGGGATCTCCCACTTGGCCGAAGCCGGTTGACCAGTTCGGGTTCCGTGGTGGCAAGACAGTCTCATAACCCTGGAAGCGAAAGATCCCCCCAAATTGGGCCACAAGGATTGAAGCAAAGATTTGTTTCCTGATCACTTGCCAAACTGCGCACCACCATGCAGGTTCTCATAGGACACTAATTTCAATTCCAACAGGATTGGTCCGGGTTTGACTGGGATTCCATGCTCGACAACACACATCGTGCTCTCGAGTCGTTCTGCCAGGCACATATGCACAGGTTACCGTGAGAAAGCCACGAAAACAGAAACTCAAGCAAGCACCAACGAAGACTCCAAGTGAAGATCTTGGACGGATTGCTTGATGTGGCTTGGGCGAGGCAAAACAACCTGAGTTGTAATCAAAACCTGGTACCAAAATGGTGAGCCCAAAACCATGTAAAGAGTTACCAAGGCGGCTGCACCCAATTCTGGATGGGACTGTCCACTACTAGCCCACCTGAGCCAGCCAATAGGACCCTCCCGGTCCTAAAAAGCGTGGCCAACATAGAATCCTAGGGTAACTGGACCGCCCCTCGCAAAGCGCCCCCATCAAATCCAAATGACTCGAATAAAGTGCCCTCCTGCGGCTCGAGAGAACTGCGAAAGTCCGCTTCTCTTTTCCTCTAAGCCTTGGTACCCTTGCACTTGCTGTGCGCCTTGGACGGGCAAAACCACCTGAACACCATGTGTGGGGTTCCCTTATTGGGCATTTAGCTACGCCTGTCTTTTTGCTTCCCCTTAAAGCCCAACCAAAAGGCGGGACTCCCCCCTCGCCACAAACCAATTTCGGCCTCCATGACTTCAAGGCACCGGGCTCCGGCTCGGGCTCCCGCCCTCAATCCTCAGGCCCGAAACCTGAGCATCGCTCTTGGCGGTACTCCTGGGGATGGAAACAACGTGGTTGGAAACAACTCCTGCGGTGGAACTCAAACTGAAGACAGCGCGCTTGGAAACTGGCACCGTGCCAAAACAAAGGTTTGAAAGGGGCGTCGAACGTTGGAGGCGATTGGACGCCACTCTCAGGTGAACCGGGAAAATGAAAGCGCCTGCCAATGGACCAATGCAGTTCAAAGTCGAAATCCTCTGCCGAAACGAAAAAGAAATGTGCGGTCAGAACTTACGGGCTGCAGCTCCCGAAACTGCTTGGGATCCCTCACAGCTGATGGCTGGCCGTCCCCAAGCCCAAATTTACAGGCCGTTTAACCCTGCATGGATTTGTGTTGTACCGAGTAGGAAGTAACCAGAGGTACATTTGATAAAGACGGCTAAATATCGATATGTTTCACCAGCATCGACACGTTTTTGATGAGCTATTTCATTACAGTTCAAGCAACTACTACTGTTTTTTCATAGAGAACGTAAAATGACTGTTGTAATGATTGATTTCAAGTGGTTTACAGATCTGGTATTCGTGCTCAGATCCTGTCGTGTTTTCTTTCTCAGACAGCTCCTGAGAGAGTACTAGAGTACAGGAGATATACCTAGCCGTTACCTTTCCCAGCGAAAACCCATCTTGAAGTCGACATTCTTGGGAGGAAGCTGATCCCAAGAGCTCCTGAACCTGGGGATTTGGGGAAAAAGTCGCTTCAGAGATGGCCCAGGTGTTTGCGGAAGGTACCCTTCACACCGCGGAAGCTTCGTGGAAGGGTTTGACACCCTGCAACTATGAAGGGAATAAAACCCACTCATTTGGCTGTGGGTCAAAAATTGGAACCCTGGTAAGTGGAAACATGGACTAAAACCTGCGGTCCCCTGTCGGATTAATTGTGACCCATACCCATTTTGCTCCGCAAGGTGGCGCTCGCTCAGTGGCCCTCCTACCCAAACCACCTCTCCCCCTCAGCCCGCCTCGCTGGCGCAGCCAAGCCATGCACTCCTCCGGCCAGCCCCCGGCCAAACCGAAGCCGTGGGGGCCAAAGTCCCGGCGCAGGTAGGTGCCTCACGTCGCGCAGGCGCGCCGAATTTTTTTGGAGGTCTCCTTTGATCCCGAAATTGGGGGGTCCTCTTGGTGGGTAGGTTTGCGGCTTTGGCTGGTTGGTTTGGTTGGTTTGGTTGGTTGGTCGGGTTGGGTTGGGTTGGGTTGGGTTGGGTGGGGTTGGGTTGGGTTGGGTTGGGTGGGGTTGGGTTGGGTTGGGTTGGGTTGGTTTGGGTTGGTTTGGTTTGGGTTGGGTTGGGTTGGGATTGGGATTGGGACTGGGATTGAGATTGGAATTGGGATGGGTTGGGTTGGGTTGGGGTTGGGTTGGGTTGGGTTGGGGTTGGGTTGGGTTGGGTTGGGTTGGGTTGAGTTGGTTGGTTGCTTGCTTGCTCGCATGCTTGCTTGGTAAATCGGTAGGTTGCTTGCCTGGTTGGTATTCTGTTGGTGCTTTGGAAGGTACCTCTTTTGATCATCCTCTGGGTTTGGAGTCCCAAAACTCTTTCGCACGGTGACGTTGGGACAACACCCAGAGGGGTCCGGGTTTTTGTGTGAATCGTACGGGGAACAAAGCACGACTACCCAATTTCGAGGGTCCGACAAGAATTGAGACACACCCAAAAGGGTCTGTCTTCCCCTAAAGGAAAGCCACCCAACATTGGAAATCCAAAGTATCCCCGGAATCGTTGGTTGTCTTTGGTGCCCAAGGGTCAAATCATGTTTATCAGCTCCCCTCCAATTGGTGCCTGGATTGGGGGTTGGAGGAGTTATATAGGGGGTGGTTTCCTATTTACCCTGCACAAGAAGTTCAATTCCCCAAACCCCCCAATCCAAAACAACCGCTTCAGGGCAACCTGATCTTACGCAGTTCAGTGGTACTCAAACCCAGGGGGACCCAACAAACAAAAAGGGTTCAGGCATGCTGAACAACCGGGTTTTCGGAAACCAAAGAACCTGAATGTAGATTTTGGTTGGAAGCGGACCCTTTGGTAGACGCCATTGGTTGGCTTTATGTCCACCAACCACTTTCCTCCATTTGCTTAAGGCACCTGGGAAAAAGCCTTTCCACTAGTGATAGATTCCCTTTAAACCAACAGGGGAACCTAAGAAGCATTCTTAAGGAAATGGCAGCTTTTAGTGTGGGTACCTTTGAAATCATGGCCTTCCAAAAGGGGCGACTTCGGAAGATGCGGGATCATCGCGTTCTTTGCGGTTTTGAGCCCGGAGGAAAAGAACTTCTTTCGCCAAGAGGAAATTCGATCCAACATCAAACATCCTCCCCGAACAATAGACAGCCAGCAAGCGATCCATCTCTGCCTTCAGCCGCCGGAAAAGTTGGTATTCAAACGCACCAAAGACGTCCTCCTGCCCACGCCCCCTGGGAAAGTTGAATTTCACAGCGGAACGGATCCCCCCAAAATCCGTGGCTTGCATGTTGATTTCCCAATCAAAACCAGGGGGCCCTAAGGCTCGGCTCGGTGCTTTGGGAGGTTGGCTTTAGCTTGGACACCGCATGGGCATTCAATCTACTTGCTGGTGCAACAGGCAGGGAATGAGAAATGGAATGAACCGTTTGGGGATCCCCTTAAAGGAAACCACAGGGGATGGCTTATCTCGATTTTCTCATTCCCTGCCTGTCGCACCAGCAAGTCTATAGCGCCTGGTTCCAGCTACAAGACAACACATGTGTTAGCGTGACGCGACGGTCGCTTGCTTGTTCTCAGTGTCACGGATTGGCACCTGGTGCCTGTGGATGTCAGGTGAGGGGCTTGCTGAAAAGGCAAGCGACGCTTGGCATCGGCGTGTATCAAATAAGCTCGGCCAACGGCTGTTTCCAGGAACTGTCCACAATCCTTTTGGGCCCATTTAACTGATTGTTGCCGCTTGGTTTATTCATAACTATGAAGGCGAATATATATGGACATATCCGTTCTGAGCCAAGTTTCTTGCCAAACTGTTCAGGCTTGCTCAGAAGGTCAGAACCCAAAAGTAGGTAAGAAGAAACGAGAGTTTTCACCTGACCAGCAACCAAACAGGAACATAGTTGCCTCTGAGGGACACACTCGACAGGCCATTTGGGAGGACCTGAACACATGGTCCTCATCGCGCTGTCGTGTGCGTGCGTGTGTGTGTTTTTTTCTTCTTTTTTTCTGCGCAAAAGTCGTGGATCGCACCCATCTCACCCCGATCATTTTCTCACTTGCCCAAAGGACCTGCAAATAAAAGGTTAACCTTTTGGGACCTCTAAAAATAGACCAAAACGGGAAAACCAAAAGGTCGAAAGGTCGGCTTTGAACAACTGAGTTTTTGGAAATGTCAGCCGCTCCGCAAGACGAAACGCACCAAACGCCGCCCGAATCGAGAGGCAATGGATGCCGCGCTTCGCCAGGGCCTGGGCCGCAACTCGCTACGCGAATTGCATGAGGTGAGCGAAATAACAGCAATGGGGCCCGGATCAGCACCCGGAAACTGCCGAAAAAGCGCCTGGATATAAGAAGGCTGACCCCTTTTTTGGAGCCTTCACCAGTCAAAGGAAGCTCAGAAGAAAGTTGCGTAACACCGGAACTAATTGAGCGCTCTCTCTCTCTCTCTCTCAAAATACATGCACCTGCGCCTGATGTACCTGCGCGCGAAAAAGCGTCAAAAAAGCTGGACACCACGAGAAGTGGCCCTCTGCGTGAATTTGGCTCTTCTGCATGTGCACACAACACCTTGGTTACGACGCCTGTATGGAGGGGTGGCTCAGAATGGGTTCGGGGCTCATTGGCACGGCCGCACGCATGGTTGCGCGACCTTCAGTCTCCTCCGAGCACTTTGGGTGGGTCGACCTCAAGACTTGTGTTTCGTTTTACGATGTTAACTTCACTCGCGTGATCCTCTGCGGACTTTCGACCTCAACAAACTCGTAGCTTGCGCAACCATCAAACCGTGAACCCTCTGCAGATGTTCAGTCGTTTTTCGCTCTCGTGGGCTGGAAGAGAGAGAGAGAGAGAGAGAGAGAGAGAGAGAGCGACTCTGCCGGACATTGCTTCTAAGTACTAAAATGGAAAACGCAGCAGGTCAACAGGTCGATTCGCTTTGGCCACGTCTTTTTGTTGCGTAAGTGACCAATATGCGACTCACTTGGTTTCAACAAGAACGAGTTGAGCTCCAATGCAACTTGTCGTAATCCTGCTTGGGAAGCCACTACGGAGTCGACCGAATTCATTGCTTAGCACAGCTTCTTCCTGACGTCACGTGTTTGTGGATTGGTTTTGATTGATTTTGATTGGCTCGGCTTGCGTTGCTAAAGCCATTGTTAAACAGCAACCATTTGAACAACAAACCCTCCAGGGACGCCGAAAGGGATGGTAAGAAAAGAACAGGCTCCCTCTTTTTAACACTCATGGCTTTTCCTCACCCGTTTTAGGGGGTACAAACTTCGAACATGTCTCAGTCTGAAGGTGTTTGGGCGCTTTCAACATCACCTGTTGGTTGCTATTTTGGAATGAGCTTTTATTGAAAAGCGGTCATGTTGAAGGAGATCAATGCGCCTGTCCGTCTTTTTTCTTCTGAGGGTATCCAGTTGCCCAATGGAATCGACAAGGTCGGCCAACCCTTCTTCCTGTTTAGCGGTTTGTTCAGATTCCTCTTGGCGGTATGTACCAATGGACCAAAGTCCCCGCAAAAGGCTTCTTCAGGGGCGGAAACAAAGTTTTTTAGGGAGACGTTCTGGCAGAAGTTTTCAGAAGCTTCACGTTGCGGAGCGAAAATGCCTCTTTCCCCCTGCGCAGACTTCCGAGGGCAAACCGTCGCTTTTGCAACAAGCCACCAACACCCGATGTGTTTTCCTCAGGAGATGATCACCCGTTGCAAAGCGTGACCATATGGCCATCCGCTTGGATTTAGTAGTGTCTTTCGGCTTTCAAGCAATACCGAAAGTGGGCCATGCTTTAACTGACCCACCTACAATGGGCGTGCCCCAACCAACCAAAACCTTGGGGTCAGAGTACCTGAGCAGCCATCCAACTCCCAAAAACATCGAATCCGCTCGCGCCCCCGAATCGCCACCACGCCCACCTCGCCTGCGCGTAGGGGTCCGTGTGCTTCTTGGGGGGCGAGGCCTCATCCTTCGTGGAGGCCACCAGGAAGCTGGGAGGCGCCTTCAGCCCTGGCAGTCGAGCCCTAGAAGCGAACTTTTGCCCAAACGGGAGGCGCGCAAAAAACGGGCTGCTTGGTGGTCTGCAAAAACCCCTACTAAAAAATAATCAGAACCAAACAACCGTATGATAATATTAACAAAGTACTAATAATAATGAGCCCAGGGTGGCAGAAGGGAGCGTTTCACCACCCAAACGGTTTGTTGGCAAGAAACGGACTGGTTCTTGCAGCCCCCTGCTAGAATACCCCCTCTTTTTTCGGGAACCTTGAGCATAACATTCCTATGAGTGTCCTGGGCTTGGTTTCCTCGAGTTTCGGTTTGAAACGAAGTTCCAAGGGTTGATTCCCCCGTTTCCCACGGGATCCCATTTTGGGAGAAGGATCCGTGAAGAGACCCCAAGAAAGGAACTAAGACAGCTGACCCCGTTGCGGCTACTGAGACTGTGTTTGGGGTTTATTGTGTCTGGAAAACAAGTACGACTTGGCGATAGTTGCGGTTGCCCCGAAAAGAACTGGGATTGCACTGGCACCTTGCTGGCGCTTCCCCGCAGTGACTTGGGTCGGCTTGGGCCCTGGAATCGTCCAGTTCTCGTCTTGACTTTTGCTCAGCTGCCCAACCCTGGCAGAGGGAATCCTCTTTGCAACAAACAAGCCGGGAACGTATGAACACATAGGAACTTTTCGGAGGAGTCCACAGCATTCTGACACACTCCCCTCACTCGCCGGGGATCCAAACCTGTGGACCGGGGGAAAAAAGGTCAATACTCATGCTTCACATCCTTCAGCAATGATTCAAAGGTGATACTTCAAGGGTAGATCTTTGGAAATGCAAACAGGGTAGCTAGGTTCCTGATCACAACCCTTGGTCGCTGCTCTGATCATGTTCAGCGCGTCGCTTTGGTCAGCTTCATCCACGTGTCGACCTTCGGCTTATCGGGTCGTCGAGCCGCGCCCGGGCCCAGTGACCCGAGCTGCTTGCCGACCTGCTTCGCCTTGTGCACGTCTCCCGCACGGCGAGCCGCGAGAGCCACGATATCCGTGTCTGAGGCAAGATGGTGGATCGGTACGCCACAGCTCCAGTCCCAGCTCTCTTCTGCGCTTAAGGCAACCCAAAAAAGGGATACCCTCAAAGAAAGACAAACCCAGATAGTCCCAACCGCCCCTGCCAAGACTCGTGCACGTGTTTTGGTTGCTGATGATGAGCCCAAAGGCAGCACAAAAGTCAAAAAGGCTCTCTCTCCCAACTGTGCAACCCAAAAACATTGGAAACTGTCTCTTGGCTTCCCTATAGGATTTCTGAAACAAAGACACGATAAAAAGAGGGGAAGGAAGGGCTCGTTTCAACTGGCCAGTCTGATTGTTGGGCTTTGTGGCTTCACAAGTCCTCTCCCGCCGCAACAAAAAATATAGCTCTCCAAGAACATCAATCGAACCAACAGTCAGCACTGCAACTAGATGCTGTAACTTGCCTTTGCTCATGTGCTTGAACGTCCTATCAATTGCTTCATGTTAGTCCCTGTGTAAGAAGTATCCCAGCCGAAGATCCAGCCTCGCCCGCCCAGCAGCTTCTTCCGCGTTGAGAGCAACGACTGGCCCTGGAGGCAAAACATCAAGCGACGAGGGAGCCGTCAAAACCGGGGGCACCAAAAATGGGGCGGTTTGCCTAACCAATCTGAAAAGGGTACCCAAAAAAGCAAACGCACACAAGAAAGAGCCTTCCACTAAAGCTTATTGCTTTACGAAGAACCGTCACAGACGTTTCTAACCACCCGCAGTGAAATGGTATCTTGGCCGTCTCCACCAACACACACACACACACACACATGGGCTTGATTCCCCAGGGGACGAATTCAAAGGCAAACGTCCATTTGGGTTCCCCTGCAAACTTTGCTTTTTCTTGAGATGACCTTCAAGCAAGCACATTGGGCAATTGTCCATCAGAACAGGATGGAACATCCAATTCGCTTGTCTTGCTTCTCGGCCTTGGCTTTCCCACGTTCAGGATTTCCCCACTAAAGGGAGCTGGACGGCCAGCCAGCGGCTTTTGTGGCGGAACCAAAAAATGTGGGGCTGCTAAGACTCAAAAGCTTTGAGATGTCACGGCCGCCCATTGGCCCATGGGCCCGAATGCGTACCGACACCATGGCACCTACGGCTCAACTACGGCTCAAAAACTGCATACCGCACAGGTGAGTGGTACTGGAGGGCTAGGTGGCACCTACGGGTAGCTCCACCTCTACCAATGTCACCCCATCTACCCAGGTAGACTGTTGATCGGAGGGTGTGTTTCCCCGCCTGAGCGAGGCACTGCTCGAAATCCTCGCCCCAGAAGCCGCAGTTGTCCTCAGGAAGTGCAGTGGTTATATTATATATAAACATATATATATACTATGACATAGTATATTATATATAGATATATGTATGTATAATAAGTACATACACATGCGATTGAGCGCACCTGTATACAGTTGAAAATCATGTACAATTGCGGGTGCATGTGAAAATTAGTCTGCGGCATATGTATATAGATATGTATACATGCTAGTCAGCAAGTACCAACAAGCAAGCAAGCAAGCAAGCAAGCAAGCAAGCAAGCAAGCAAGCAAGCAAGCAAGCAAGCAAGCAAGCAAGCAAGCAAGCAAGCAAGCAAGCAAGCAAGCAAGCAAGCAAGCAAGCAAGCAAAGCAAGCAAGCAAGCAAGCAAGCAAGCAAGCAAGCAAGCAAGCAAGCAAGCAAGCAAGCAAGCAAGCAAGCAAGCAAGCAAGCAAGCAAGCAAGCAAGCAAGCAAGCAAGCAAGCAAGCAAGCAAGCAAGCAAGCAAGCAAGCAAGCAAGCAAGCAAGCAAGCAAGCAAGCAAGCAAGCAAGCAAGCAAGCAAGCAAGCAAGCAAGCAAGCAAGCAAGCAAGCAAGCAAGCAAGCAAGCAAGCAAGCAAGCAAGCAAGCAAGCAAGCAAGCTAGGAAGGCAGGCAGGCAGGCAGGCAGGCAGGCAGGCAGGCAGGCAGGCAGGCAGGCAGGCAGGCAGGCAAGCTAGCAAGAAGCAAGCAAGCAAGAAAGCAAGCAAGCAGGCAGGCAGGCAGGCAGGCAAGCAAGCAAGCTAGCTAGCTAGCTAGCTAGAAGCAAGCAAGCAAGCAAGCAAGCAAGCAAGCAAGCAAGCAAGCAAGCAAGCAAGCAAGAGGCAAGCAAGAGGCAAGCAAGAGGCAAGCAAGAGGCAAGCAAGAGGCAAGCAAGAGGCAAGCAAGAGGCAAGGAAGCAAGCAAGCAAGCAAGCTAGCAAGCAGGCAAGCAAGCAAGCAAGCAAGCTAGCAAGCTAGCAAGAAGCAAGCAAGCAAGCAAGCAAGCAAGCAAGCAGGCAGGCAGGCAGGCAGGCAGGCAGGCAGGCAAGCTAGCAAGAAGCAAGCAAGCAAGCAAGCAGGCAGGCAGGCAGGCAGGCAAGCTAGCAAGAAGCAAGCAAGCAAGCAATCAAGCACGCAGGCAGGCAAGCTAGCAAGAAGCAACCAAGCAAGCAATCAAGCACGCAGGCAGGCAGGCAGGCAGGCTGGCAGGCAGGCTGGCAGGCAGGCTGGCAGGCAAGTGTATATATTTACAAATAGTTATAGCTACGTAAACATGTATACATTAACATCCCGCCAGGTCGGTCTCCCGCTGCATCACCTACACGCGCAGTCATGTGGATGTATACATATATATATATATATATACCAGAGGTGGGTACCATGTGCAAATAGGTATGTAAATACATACATGTGGTGCTATTATTGTTAATGATAATTATGATTATCATCATCATTGTGGTTCCTTATTGTTATCATCACTGAAATAATTGCTGTCATTGTTATTATCATCATGTTTCATCATCCTAGTTGTTTTTTAGTGTTATCATTATCATTAGTACTATCATTACCATTATTGTTGTCATTATTATTGTTGTTAATATCGTTACTTAGCAGTATCATAATTATTATCATTATCATAACTGCCGTGAACCGTAATTACCACCGTCGAGTGGGGTCCCAGTTTTCGAAGGCGCCCTCTAACTTTGGGTCTGAATTTGCATAAGGACCCTGTGGAGCTTGAGCTTGGGGTTCATGTCCGACCTGGGAGGGAATTCCTCATTCCCGGACATTTGGGCAACGTGTTGGAATGGACAAGATGACACATGTGCGAAACGCACACCGAGGCCTGATGGTCCCGGGCGAATCCCTTGCATGAGGCTTGAATGGGCCTTTTGCTTGATCACAAAAGTGCCCGGATTCCCGGATGTGCGCAAATTCGAAAAGGAACCTCGTTGAACTAAGAAGACGCGCTTGATTTTCAGCTTCCAGGCTCTTCGTGTAGCTCGAGAGATATGGAAAGGGATTCCTGGAGGTGTGAAACTGTGGTGGTCGACCAAAACAAGGGCTGTCCTCTTCGGCCCAGTCAGAGCCGTCGATGCCTTGCGAGGCTGCAAGATTCTGGATGTCTGTCTTGAAATGGGGGGAACGAGTGGCGTTGTGTTTCAGTGCCAGTTAGACAAACCGCCGAAAAAGGTAACATCAGAAGAACACAGTCTTGGGAGTCCAAAGAGAGATGGGTTTTGTTTCGCAAATCAAGCCACCAATGGTCGAACAACGTGGCCATCTTCTTCTCTTGAAACCAGCGCCCCACCCCCGCCCCTCTCAAGACTCGCAGAATTCAACGCACGCTGGCATGTTGGTATAGCCATAGTCAGCAGTTCAGCCAAGCACGTCCAGTACAATCGTGGCACTTCAGAAACCCTTTGCATGGCACCGGGTCTTGGCTTCCTTTGCGCCCTTTCCCATGGCTTGCTCCGGTTCCACAAAGTTTAATTTTGTTGTTCCAGAATCACCCCGTCAAGTAACAAGTCCGCCTAGCCTTTCCACCCAGCAAGGAGTCACCCCAACAGGACCCCCCCCCTTTGTGCTCACTTCCACCGCTTTCCAGCTTCGGCCTTTCCCCCCATGTCGCCCAAATCCGATTTCGCGCTTTTCTCGGTTTCTCGACGTTTTTCGTCCCGCTCTTTGAGGTCCCCTGAACCTCGATGCGTCCCCGGGGCCGAGCGGCAAGGATAGACCAGGACCTGCGCGTCCAGCGGTCTTTGGGTCCCCAGAGAGGCCACCAGGTGCCCGCCGGCGGAGAAGCCCATGGCGCACACGGGGCCTGAAGCCGACTCATCGAATGGATGGGGAGACGAGACGCCAAGGGGAAAAAGACCGGAAGGTGAGACCCGAAATTGAAGGCAGCACCCGAAAGGTTAAAAAAAAAAGAGAGGCCCGAAACGGCAAGAAATGTTCGATTTGAAGAGGATTTTCCGACGGAAAAACAAGCATATCCGTACTATGGCCTGTGAGAGGAGCGCCTGAAATCCCGGCGTTCAAAATAGGGAGCCACCCTATAAATTCCCAGGTGGTTTCAATTGAGGGTTCTTGTTCGGCACACCGTCAAAGGTCTAGAATGAGATCTTGCCCATGGCACATATTCTTATACCACGCCTTACACGAAAATATGATGCAAACCCCGCAAGTTCAAACTTTGGGATGCGCACAACCGAGAGCAGAAATCCAGACTGTCACCCGGAAATGGGCTTCAGCACTTTGATTGCCTCCAACAAGCGGCGCAATTGGCAAGCTGCAAGAATCAGTCCATGCCAGATGACTTGCATTTTGAGACAATGGTGGTCCAGATGCATTCTTCCAGGGCTCAAACAAGAAGAAAGTGCAGGTACACCAGCGAACTGTCAACATCATATTTCATGCAGAATTGTCCTGAAGCAGTTGGGCAAATTGTTTGACTTCATAAACCGGAAATCACGAAGACCTCGAGTAAAGGATCTTCATGATGGACGAGCTACCGCAACCCCCAAGCTCGTGCCTATTTGGCCAGAAGCATGTCAACTTTGTTGTTTTGCCAGTACGTTGCAAGATGTTACCCAAATGGGTGTCTTTTTGGAGGACCACCCAAATTTGTGGTTTTCCTTTTGGTTTCAACAAAGGGGTAGCCACATACCCAAATCTGAAGATGTTGTCCAGTCAGCCAAAGGCCGCCGGACACAAACCGACTCAAAATTGCAGTAGGGTCTCAAAATTCCCGGGCCTGGCAACAGCATCCCTTGGACCAAGGGATGATGTTGCCGATCGGAGAACAGTTGAGTCATAATCAAAACCTAGTACCAGAATGGTCTACCAAAATCCATGTAAGGAAATTAAAAGGCGGCCGCGCCCAGCTATGGCTGGGACTGCCCCTGACTAACCTTCATCTACCCGGGTTCTGATTGTGGCTCAGGGTTACGATTCGAAACCGCCTGCGAACGCAATGCAAACACTGATGAGCTGAAGCGCTGGCACTTATTCGCTCAAAGCAGCTCCATGGCTACCGCTGCAACGCCTTGTGCCTGCTGACACCTGCCCTTGCATGCAGCCTACAGTCCAGGCACGCACCACAAAGGAAGCATCTACAAAGATATACATAAACACCACCTGCGTATGTTAATGTGTGTGAGACCAACATACTGTGCATCTGAAAACCCAAATATGTTTGTATGTTGCACATATATACATATATATATATATGTATATATATATATGCATATATATATACATATATATATATATGTATATGTATATATATATATGTATATATATATATATATGCGTGCTGGGAAATGCCTTGGCCTCTTTGGTCTGTCTAGAAGAAAATACCAAGCGGCAACCAACAACGTCCATTCATTTTGGCTGAGTCCCAGAAACATCTGCAGGCAACCAACAGTGAACATGAAAGGATTTGTTCACCCCAAAAAGAAACCAAGGGAACCCATCTCGCAAGCGATGGAGTGGCTTCAAAGAAACCTTAGCACCCTCTGGGGCAAAGGCGGCATTAGTCACACGCAACGCCCCCCCGCCAATACATTTCGGGCCCACCACGCACCCTTCCCTCCCTAGAATGATTGCTTGTTTCAACACACAGCCACACGTCAAATGGTACTGGGTCCAAAATAGGTACCCAGAACGGAACCCTGGTATATGAAACAAAACCAAAACTTGCGGTCCATATCCTGGCGGTGACTAATTTTGACATTTTCCAGTTCAGAGAGTGGGCGACCCACCCAGGCTGTGGCCCACCTAGCAAATCCCAGCCACACACAGCCGTGGCACCAAACCTCATTTCCACCAACTCTGCCACCCGAGAAGAGGCGTTCTGTGCTTTTCCTCAGCTTACAAAAAGTTCCGCAACATAGCAACCTCCTTCACCGAAAGAGAGGCGTTTGCACCTCCCAATCTGTTTATGTGTATAGTATGTGTACTTTTTAGATATGTTTATGTATATAAAGATATGTTTAAGCAGAAGTAGGTATATACACATGGCCATGGGTCAAAATCCTGTACCCCCAGTGAACATCCCAATCCAACCACTAAAATAGGTTCTAAAATGGGTGGTGAATTCACCCACCCCAAACTGGGATCCCAAAACGGTTTTGACCACCACAGCCACATACGGATACACTTCTCCGTGGGAGCAAAACGGTCGGATCGCAGGCCCAGTCCGACCGATCTCCGAACGCGGTTGGGTCGGTCCTTTGCTTCGCAGCAGGTTCGCTGCGGCACCCAGGTCACACATCATGTCCTGCAAGGTGAACCTCGCAGCTGCCAAGGCGTGGCATCGGCTTGGGCGAGATGTTTAAACCACAAAACATGCGGCAAAATAGGACCCCCCCCCCCAAATATATATATATATATACATATATATATATATATATGTATATATATATATATATTTGGTTTTCCACCCCCTCCCCCCATGCAAAAAAATATATCGCCCCCAATGGTTGATTGATGGGAGTGCTGTTCCGGGAACCCGAAGAACCAAGAGGAAAAGTAGATTTCTGCTAAGACCCACAAGCTACTGGGGCTTGTTGAAGGAATTTCGAGGGAACCTCACATACCATTAACAAAGGAAAAGAAAGGAGCGGATGGAGGCATGAATCAAATTGTGTGAGTCCCCTGGATGTACAGGGAAATCCAAGAAGACAGGAGGCAATTTTTGACCACTGTTCAAAAAGAGCCCGGCAATACAGTCTTGTATGTTTTTGCCGAGGTGGAACTGGTTGCTGTCAAAGACGGTTTCTGGGCTGAGACCAGGCCAGCACCTAATCTGCTGGCTGCTAACTGTTCCCTATCGCTCCATCAGGGATCCCCTCCAAAAGATCCACAGCTTTTGCCCACCAAAATCAGATCTTTGATTTGCCGACGCTCGAACCTCAAAGCACAAGA